CACTGCACCCAGCCAATGTTTTCTTGAGATTTTCAATGTGGGGTTATTGAATACACCAGTGGTGGCTGAGAAGTTCATGCTTTCCTAGCCCTCGGCATCTGCAGATGAGCCAAGTTGTAGCCTCCATCCCTTACTGCCTGCAGCTGCCCCTGAGCCCAGACCTGCCCAGACCCGGCCCTTTGCCTCTGGGCAGCCCTCGAATCCCCCTCCCGGCGCAGCAGAGCTCGGAGGCCCGCGTCATCCGCATCAGCATCGACAATGACCACGGGAACCTGTATCGAAGCATCTTGGTGAGGGGCTGGGCTGGGGGTCTGCTAGGGGCTGCCCTGCCCTTGGGGCCGGGGCCCTCGCCTCACCTCCCGCCCCTCTCTTCCAGCTGACCAGTCAGGACAAAGCCCCCAGCGTGGTCCAGCGAGCCTTGCAGAAGCACAATGTACCCCAGCCCTGGGCCCGTGATTATCAGCTCTTTCAAGTCCTTCCTGGGGACAGGGGTGAGCAGGGATGGCTTGGAGCTCAGGATGGGGGGCAGCAGGGAGGGGAGCAGACTGACCAGGCTCAAGGATGGAGCCCAAGGTTACCTGGGTTCACAGGGCTGTGAGGTGGTTCAGGCAGAGAGTAGGGGTAAGATAATCAGAGTGGGGGTAAGAGGACATAAAACATCTGTACCCCAATGATGTAAGGTCATGAGGTTGTCTAGGCTCAGTGTGAGAGAGAGGCACCAAAGGTCATCTTCCTAGAATTTAAAAGACAGTAAGATTGTCCAGGGTCCGGCCAGGCGCGGTGGCTCATGTCTGTAATCCCAGCACTTTGGAAGGTCAAGCTGGGCGGATCACTTGAGGTCTGGAGTTTGAGACCAGCGTGACGAACGTGGTGAAACCCTGTCTCCAAGAAACATACAAAAATTAGTCGGGTGTAGTGGCACACTCCTGTAATCCTAGCTACTCGGGAGGTTGAGGCAGGAGAATAATTGCTTGAACCTGCAAGGCGGAGGTTGCAGTGAGCCGAGATCATAGCACTGCACTTCAGCCTGGG